ATAGTCATCTTCACGGAAAACATGAGACTCTATGTACTGTAAAACAATTATATCTAATATACTTGTTCCATTTCATCTAGGCCAGTTAATAACAACTCTCTAAGGATATATTGCATATTGTCCACTCTCGTCATCGCAAGCTTGCTAACATTTTATATGTGTTATTTGACGCTCTACGATACAATAAGAAACTCAAACAATGCATCATTATCACCAGTTTTAACTTCGCGCACGTATCTTTTTAAAGTATAATTCTTTGTATACTTTATACTATTTCAATATAATTATAATCTTAACAGTCATAAAAGCTTCAAGTAGATTGGTAACAGAATAAAACTATGCAATTGCAAATACGGAAAATCGTGTAAGTAATTGTGTGCAAATCTTTCGGATCAGTGTAATATTATTGGGAGTTACTGTGACAACACACTATTGCATCGTTCTGTATGAATAAATGACCGTGTTAATTCATAAATCTTGTGCAGTTAAAGAGTCAGACACATTGCGTTCGAGTCCTATTCGGTTGGGACTTATGCATCATCGCAATGTAACCTGTCCTTACATGTAATCACTGTTAGCACCACACGCGTAGTGCCATATCTCTAATATATTATAACATAGCCCCTTAATAATCGAAGTACCACAAGCACAACTCAGAATTATTTGTAGATGAATTTTAGATCAATCTAAACATTTATGATATTAGTTATGTCTCTAAAAACGTCATGATTCTTCATAACTCAGAAAATATTAATGGACAAGGGACCGTGAGTTAACCCAATCCTGAAGGGTGTAACACTCGTGTAATAAATCTCCACGCTCCTCCTCCAGCTTGTACAAACACTTAAGCCGTCCTATCGTTAATACATGCACAGAGATACAAGACAATTGTTTGTCGAACATTTCATATCAAAATCGTCTACAGTACACAGTGTATAGCGCGACGCGCAGAAGACTCTCTGCGCTCGGCCAAATAAGACTCCCTTTTTTTCTTCACAGATGTTGGGTGTATCAGTAAAATGGATTTTTTGATGATTATAATGAACCAAAAAAATATAAGAGAATAGATGTGGACATAATGACACCATCTCCCCTTGTAGATTATATAATAGATAATAAGCTCCCGTCAAGTAACAGTAATACTCTTCTAGCATTGAGTGAATAATACATCTGATAAATTCCGCCATAATTTATCTAGATTATTCTCTATCTTGAGCAGCCAATATAGAAAGACATGTTTTGCACTGCCATTTAATTATTAGGTCTGTTTGTGGTGGCTACTCTGATTGCGTCAGCATCATCGCCTTGAATCAGACTTGGTTTACAATTTACTTTTTCAAAAGAGAATTAAGCTAGATGAGTAGAGCTTTTGATAAATGTCTTGTACTTCAGCTATTATACATTCATGTTCATACGCTCTTTTAAATCGAATAGCTCTTGGAATCTATAACTGATCGAGAGAGATAACTCATTGTAATCATACATCGATAGAATCACAAAGTTTTTGATACTCTTATTTAGTGTCTCATTGACACTAAGGCATGTTGATAGAGACTCTATACTCGTATGCTCCCAGTATTGAATAAATCAACGCTAATGTCTGAAGTGAATGTTTATATACTAATAGATTGATCCCGCTCAGAATTGACGAAACTATTTAACATGCCAATATTCGCGATCGCAAGTATTCGATTATGGTAAACTTAATTTACCTCATCTCGACATGTGCATTAACTTGACTATATATCATCCGTGACAACCTTAGTAGCTTAAACCCCTCACATGTGTAGTAGGATTCCCTCCACTCCTGAGTGTGATAAGAAACCGGTATGCTCTGTAGGTCTAACATTTCCTAAGATGAGCATTTAATGAACCACTAACATTGTTGAGCAACCAGTGAGATTATTACGAGGCGCGAGTGCGATTCTGACGCTCGACAGGGTGGTGTGCTAGAACCTGAGTAGCCGGCGCGCTCTGATGTGTATTTTCTAATGTTTTTCCTTACTCTTTATCTTTCTGGCTTATTGCATTCGTCTGTGTATTACTATTGATTACTCTGTGTATGTATGGAAATCTCACCATGAAGGAAAACCAATATCTCCCGTCGCATATACCGCTTCCACTCTCCGTGGATTTACAAATATTAATTAGTTCTAGGTCAATATCACCGTAGCTTGTAGTGTTGATACTTCAATATTTCCCGTAACGTATTATACGTGAGAGTTATATCATAAATCTAAAGGAGTATGTATAGGCATGCCAGATAGACCATCTCATCACCGTGCCGCAACATGCGTCTTATCTATGCACGGCCGCGAAAGTACACAAAACACTAGGACGCGGGTCCCTGGGGTACTTGATTCTAGTTAGTACATCGTCGAGACTGGTCATCGACGTGTTCAGTCGGAGTTGTACAATTTTGTTAAGGTCATTCGATATTCCAATGAGGTATGTGCATTATGCCGAGGCAGAGCAGAAGAAATATTGTATAAAGACTTTATGATAGTTAGAGACTATAGGTATTTCTTATTTCGTGAAGCTCCCAAGTTTTCTAATATGTGTGCTTTATATACCTGTCTCTGTCTCGCTCCCTCATAAATATGCACCCTCAAGATATGTTGTCCAGACAATGTACAGAGGACAGCAGCCCCGTGAGATAAAGTAACTACGGTTGATCCAGAATAGCACCTGACAACCCGATCATTTCATACTTGAAAATAGCCGCATCACAACTATTATGCGACATATTGCACTAATTATAAGACCGCTTTCCATTTCCCTCTATCCAGTAATGGCACCAAACCAAAAATCATCATGAATACTTCGGAAACCAATAATATATCAAAATAACTCTAAACAGGGAAGAAAGACAAGAGTTATTAGAATAAACTTGATTCTCAGGAAAAAAAAGGAATAATACTATAAATAATTAAAATTCTACAAATTCGGCCGGCCAAATAAAATTAAAACCGAAAACAAAAACAAATAAACCTAAACAAACCACCATCAAACAACCCCTAAACACAAAAACCTAAACCAGAAAATTATAAAATAAAATAACCAGAACAATAATTCCCAGAGAAATACGTCAAAACGAAAAAAAAAAATAAAAAAAAACCCAACGACCAGCCACATCACCCATTTTCTTCTCCCAACCACACCCAATAACCAAACAAAACAAACAAAACACAACCAACACCACACACCAAACAAACACCAAACAAAACAAAAACAATAGAAAAAACTCAAGTGCCCGATCCTAGCTATGAACCAGAAAACCTCCATAGTACAATAAGTCCTGGGAAATCCACACACCATGAGCGAGCTAACAAAACGCTCAATGGCCAACCCCTAACCGAATAGTAAAACCAATTGCACCTTCTTAACCGAGTAATCACACACACCAACAAAAAAAAAAACTCGATAAAAACAAAAAACAAAAAACACAAAAAACAAACAAGCAAACAACACGAACATGTGTTGATCTTCCAAAACCCAATAAATAAATACTTAATAGAAAAAACACTAATATGAAAAACTTAAAAAAAAGGAATCTCATATCAATCAGCGACTCAATCTTTCTCAACCAGATATCTACAAACTAACTTCCGCTTCGAAATTGTTTGGATGATTTTTTCAACTACAATTCATGATTGATTTTCTGAAAAATCTTATGCACATACTGGATAGTAAGGGAAATGGAATGGCAATTTAATAATAACAACCACAAGTAGCCAAATCATTTCGCAAATTGTCGTTTCATTCTGTTTAGAACCATGACCCGGGCTTTGCCAGGGCTCTTAACCCCGGATCAACGTCGTACAGCTCTACCTTTATCCTCCGGGGCTCTGCCTGTACCGATTTACCGGGGCTCTGCCGGCATATACCGGGGCTTCTTACCGTAGCTCTACTTGCTATATCATACCCGGATCATCCCCGGTTTGTGCCGGCAGGAGCAGCTACGCGTGGCTTTTCCCGGTATAACCCCCGGTCGTTTCCCGGCAGCAGCTATAGGGATGAAGCCGGCAAAGCTATACCTTCCCGGATAATCCCGGACCACCTGACTCCAACGAAGAGTGTAATTAGAATTTTGTCATCCGGGATGCGTAAAATGCTGCGGATTGTATTCTCACGGTATTTCTATAACCCGGATCAATTCAATGTGGAGTCTTGTTGCCGGCAGAAAGTTACGGATGTATCCCGGTATGATATCCCGGTTCGTACCCCTGTATCTCGTATCCAGCGAAGGATTACCGGACAGTCTACCGGGGCTCTACGGCGGCTCTGACCGGGATGTAAGTGAGACTTAGCCTTTACTGATTTGAAAAATCAAAGATTCTATTAACAGAACATGCTATTCCCATAAGAGAAGTGTGAACATTTTAAAAGCTAGACGTAAGGAATACATGCTTATCTGAAGCCATGCCATTCAAAACACAGATTCAAGACTCCCAAGATGATGTCTAACTCGAAGTGTCAATTAATAATGTTCTTATTGACTTAAAAAATTACAGGCTAGAATTAGTTTAGAAATAATTGTGAAAGTATGCATATGATACTACAGCAAGTACTAAAAGGTGTCATAAATTATGCTAAAGATATGGGTAATGTTTAGCTCACTATTTATTATTCTGTTTTTTTATTTCTATTTGCTTCGATACCGTTCATATTGTGTGTATATATATGTGAGAAAAATAAGAGGATTACCAATTGGAAGGTCTTGCGCTCCTTTATCTCCATGTAATAAAATGCCCAAAATGTTTTTTCTTCAACGGGTCTTATTTATATGAATATTATATAACTACTTCGTATCACCTGCATTATCAGAGGATAATTCTCGCCGCCTAAAGCATGATGTCCTACGATCTACGTTTTTAGAACATGTGTTGATCTAAAATTCATCACACAATAATTCCCTGTGTTGTGTCTTGGAATTGAAGGCATAATTTAAGCTCGTCCATATTTTAACAGAGGACATGATGTTCAAAACTATAACTCACCTGGTCACTTTTATACTTTCCATATCTACAGAACGATGCAAAATGTTCACAGTTACTCCATAAAACATTGTAGTCAATATTACCGAGCATTTCAAGGCCTTTTTGTACAATCTCTTGAGCTTTGTGAGGACTAATAATGAAAAGAAAGAAGAATTATCTTTAAAAAAAGATACTCGGCCGAAGTAAAACTGGTTAAATTGCATACTTTAGTTCTTAGTATTCTACGCAAAAACACATAAAAATGTTAGCAAAGCTTGCATGACAATGACATACAAATTTCTTTTAGGGTTATTAATCTTGAGAAATGGAACAGTATAAGATTTATAATTATGTTTCTTAACGAACATGTCCTGTTTCGGTAAGTGAACTCAATTTCTTACACCAATATCTACACAGTCGATGGCTAGATATTTTAATTAATACTTGAACAATATCGTCCGACAAAATTACAAGTAGCGTTAAGAATTTGTTTATTTCAGATGGAAAGTGCAATAAGTAGTAAAGAGATATTTTGTTTTTCTTACAGTTAAAGCGACATGTTTAAAAACATGTACGCAAAATTAACAGAAACATAAATTTCGTCAAAGTCCTTTTAGATGGTACATATGGAGACTGTGAATGAACGACTTGCTGTGAATGAACGACTTGAGGATAAAGTGAATAATATTATAAAGAATCAATTGAAAATTAGTGACATTAAAGTGACTTCAGTACAGCATATTCCTAACCATAATTCCGATTCTCAAACGCCTGGAGTTGTGATAGCAAAATTTAACAGTGAAAGTGAGCGGAACAAAATATTACAAGTGAAGGGAAAACTCCAGATAATAGTATATAAAGACATGTTTATCCATGCAGATCAGTCGAAGGATGAACGACTGAATCCAGTAATTTACGCGCAATGGTGAATGCTGTGAATAGGGGAATGATGAGTCACACACTCAGAATAATAGTACCTATCAAGCAGGCACACAAACTCAGAATTACAGTACCAATCAAGCAGGCAATAATCAGTTACCTTCGAATAGTGCTTCACAGGGTAACGCGGGTTCTAGTCATCGAGGTCGGGGGAACTGGGGTCAGCAAGGTCGTGGGAAAAGCAACAGAGGACAAGGACATGGCGGTCAAAGGGGTCAAAGTCAAGGATATAGAGGGCAAGGACGAGGAGGAAGAAGATAGATGGCTTCCGGTTTCTGGAGTGTAAATGGGTGGAGTACAGTTAAAGACAGTGATAATTTTATTTTAAGAAGTGAATGTGTTCAGTTTTTAAATGTTGACATTTTAGGTGTAACTGAGACTCATTTGTGTAATAATGATATAATTGAATTACCAGAGTTTGTTTGGTTTGGTAATAATCGCAAATCATTACATATAAATGCAAGGTCGGGCTCAGGGGGCGTTGGATTTTTAATTAAAAAGGAAATGTTGGATTTTGTGACATAGAAATTATTGATAGCAGTTTTGAAGGCATATTATGGTTAAAATTTTCAGATAAAGTTTCAGGGTTAAAATTTTACACATGTGTATGATATTTGCCAACTTATAACTCTTCTAGACGTTTGATTGATGTTAATAACTTTTATGATACTCTATTATCTAGTATATATGTATATCAAGTGATTGTCCATTATACATTTGTGGTGATTTTAATAGTCGTATTGGTGACAATAGTGATTTTATTATTGGGGTTGACGATTTGCCAGATAGAAATAATGTTGATTTTTCTTGTAACGCTTATGGTGACAAGTTATTAGCTTTCCTGATAGATAGTAACATGTGTTTATTGAATGGTCAAAATTATATAAAGGATGATTTTACATCAATACCTGCTAAAGGATGTGCTGTTGTTGATAATTGTATAGTCGCACATGATAAAGATTTCACAGTTATTAGAAGTACTGAAATTATTTCTTACATTCAGGTAAATACTGGCCTTATACCTGTATCCACACCAGACCACAACCTATCTCGCCTATGGAACAAACTATGTGAAGCTGGAAGAAAATGGTTGAAGGTTCTATTGGACCAGTTAAAAATCATTTAAAGGGTGTTTTCATATCTGCTAGAAAAGATTTTGACGGAGAAGTTCAAAAGTGTAAGAGAGCATATTGGGTTTCTTTACAGAATGAGTTACTTCTTGATTGTGAACATAATCAACAGAAGTTTTGGAAAACCATAGGCAAGATAGGTGTTGAGCAATCAAAGTAAAAGGGTATACCATTAGAAGTAATTTGTGAAGATGGTTCTATTACCAACAATATTAGTACAGTTTTAGATAAATGGACAAATGATTATAGCAGTTTGTAAGTAGACAATGCAATGCTGAAACTACCGTACTTAATAATGGTTGTCAAAGTAATCGCTCTTGTGATAGTTTGAATGAAAATATATCTATAATGGAAGTAGAGAAGGCTGTTACCAAAGGGAAGTCTGGTAAATCATGTGGTATAGACTCAATACCAGTAGACATTTTGAAAAACCAGTGTCCAGTGTCGTTTTTACAAATTTTATATAATGTTTGTTATAGATAAAAGTATACTAATATTATTGATACTAGAAAAAGGCCAAAAATCTACTTTTTGTGCATTTATTGATTTAAAAAAAACTGTGATTTTATAAATAGGACTATTTTATGGGACAAATTAATGAATTCGGAAATTGGGTTTAATGGAAAAGTGATGAATGCTATGAAATCTCTTTATAATAGTCAAGTAACAACTAGTGTTAGGGTTAAGGGTTTTTATACAGATTGGTTCGATGTTAAGTGTGGCTTAAGACAGGGCTGCTCCTTATCACCTTTGTTATTTAATTTATTCGTAAATGATCTGGCAGTATCTATAAAAGCAGCCGGAAAGGGTATTGTATTGATAATGAAAAACTATGCATCCTTTTATATGCAGATGATATTGTACTTATAGCTGAAAACGCAGAAGATTTACAGTTCATGTTAGATATGTTAAATAATTGGTGTAATAAGAATAATATGATTTAAATCCTATGAAGAGTAATATCGTTCATTTTAGTCCTGTTTCTGTTCCCAGAACTGCATACAGTTTCACATGTAGTTAACACAGTCTGAAAGTCGTTGCCAACTATACTTACCGAGGTCTGTTACTGACCGAGATGCTTGATTTTAATATCATGGTGAAATCTGTCGCTCAGAGTGCTGGTAGAGCCCTTGGTCTCCTTATAGCTAAGTCCAAGTCCTATGGTGGCATGCCATATAAGGCATTCACAAAACTTTACGACAGTACAGTATGCCCTGTTATTGCATATGGGACATCTGTTTGGGGAACAAGATCCTATTCTTGCATAAATTCAGTGCAGAGTCGAGAAATGAGATTCTTTATGGGGTTGGGTAAATATATATATAAATATGCAATTTATGGTGAGTTTTGTTGGCGCCCCCCTCATGTGAAACAGTGAAGATCTGTGTCTCAACATTGGCAAAGAGTGAAGTTAATGGATAGTGAGAGAATTAATTTCAAGATTTTTAGATTTTGTGACAGTAAGAGTAATAATAGTTGCAAAAATTGGCAAATTCTGTATAAGAAACATCTACATGATCTATTGTCAAACAATTTATTGAATATATTAAAAGATTGTATTAACATGTCTTCCAAACAGTTTTGTGATAAGATAAGTAAGTGTACCATGGATACTTTCATTCATGATTGGAGAACCAGTTTACAAACTGTCACGGGTCCCTCTGGTAGAGGTAGGAATAAACTTAGGACTTATACGCAGTTTAAATCTGTTTATGAAACTGAAAAGTATGTTGAATGTACAACTTTGTCTAGTAAATACAAGTCTGCGTTAGCTAAGTTTAGATATGGAGTTGCCCCCTCCGTTTAGAAACCGGGAGATATGTATATATCCCAGAAGAACAGCGTCTATGTCCAATTTGTGATCTTGCAGTGGAAAATGAAGTTCATGTGTTATTCCCTGCCCATTTTATCAGAGTCTCAGAAATGATATTGTTAAAAAGGCTATTGAGATGAATGCCTCATTTAACAATTAAAGTGATCAGGATAAATTAAACTTTGTACTCTCAAATGAACATATGTTAAAAGAAAGTTCCAAAACATGCTTTTTGATTTTAAAAGCCAGAAACAACCATTTATATAAATAGGTAAACAGACTACATTTCAGGATTAGTCATATATCCTTTTTATTACAAGTATTAGTAGCGTAAATAGTGAAAAGCAAGTTATATTATTTCATTCTATGTAGGAGATGGGGTATGTATACAGATACTGACAGTTTAATTTTTTTCCTGAAAATAATATTGTATTAAATAAGTGTTAGTCTTTAGAACATTTCTAAATTCATAAACAAGAGTGTCCGTCATGTCTGTATCTCACCTCCTGCCTGGAGTGAACAATTAATATAATTTTAAACACATAGAAATTTTAATATAGAAATATGATATATTTTAAATTACATAAATAAGTTGTTTTATCCCTGTGTTTTGATAACAAACAATTTTCTGAATGAAAGACATATCTCTATCAGTATTAACCTGTGTTTTGAAAGAACATAATTATATGTCAAATATAAACGAAACATGTGATACCTGTGAGTCTATGGACTCACTTAGGGGATAGACATAATTGTGTTGTTACTTTGACCTTCTTGATCTTTTTCAACCCTACAAGCTACCTTTTATATTTTCAACTAAATAACTACTGGCTGTACTCAATGAACATCATAATGCTTAACGAAATGGAATAAGGGACTTTTTCTTTTGTTATTATCTTTTGTTTAGTAGAGGAGAATTGGTCCTTTATTTTTATTCCTGAATGAACTTTATTCTGCGTAATTCCTAAATACGTCATGAAGGTATTGAGGCGTATAGTTATTATTGTTTTATATAAAGAAAATCCTTTGCTAAAGCCGTTTCAACGACACACCATTTTTCCTTTGTTTTAGGTTGTACTAAATTTAAGTAACATCGGTACGTTTTATTCACAGGTCAACTTCTCAGCTTTATTGATAGAGGAAGACGTCAGCTGAGTGCATTATGTCAAGACTGCCTTCCGTTTATCATTAAAATTTAAAGTAAATATCTGTTTCATGCACTTACACGATTAACCGTAATTTGATTTTATAAATCAATTATAATACCGGTAAATTCTACTAAAAGCCGAAAGCCTACCTCAATTTCTTATCTTTGGAATTATTTTTGACGCATTTGCAGCCATCTACAACTTCCCAAAACTCTTCGAGTTTGACACGAGCCTTGTCAAATGTTTTACCACAGATGGTAAACACACTGCCAGGAGTGCTAAATGCAGAAGATCCACTATTGTCATCACCAGTCAAGTGAATGACCATTTCCTCACCTGAAAAGGAAAACAACAACATAATTTTACACAGCTCTCACGGATTCAGTGCAAGGCATACCAATTATATATTGATATCGGATGACAAAATTTATGATCAACAATACACCGATATATCGACATTGATTTATTAATTCACTTTCATACGCGTGCACATGATTCAATAAAATACATGTTCTGTGCATACAATTATGATGATCTTGTTTAATTAATGCCTTTTGTCATCACAGCTATAAAATATTTCCATAACGTATTGACAGCATAGTTTAAGACAAGAATACCTGTTTCTGTAAATGTTTAGTGAATTTCCATAATTTCTTGACATCTAATTAATAAGTAACATTTGTTGATTTGTTTACATGTGTTCAGATTATTGATCAACAGAAAATAAATTGATATTGTTTCTATCGATGACAGCTGTACGAAATACCATTCTTTAGTATAATATTATGAGGCTATAATTATGAGCTAAGTAGAATTTGTCAAGAGTTGTCGTCCTAGGATACGCAGGTTCAATTAATCTGAGATCTAGATAGTAAACTCACAAAACATTTTCTAGATAAAAATACTATTTGATTTACAGATTATCTTGATCATGATCAGAGCTGCATCAGTACTAAGGATGTAGCACTTAAGTACAAGTGCCAGTGCTTGCCAAATTATGCAGTACTATTACCAGTACCAGTACAAGATTTTAGTTCGGTTCTTCAGTACCAGTACATTTTTTAGGGGGGGGGGGGGGTGGTGGGGAGTAATTAAGTATCAGTACATTACTTTTATTTATTCATCAAAGTTTGAATAAATACACAGTGTCAAAGAAAATAATTGTAAACATTATTTATAAAATAAATAAAATCATTATCTACTTTAAAGTAAACATAAATTTTTACAGCTTTAATGATTTAACATACTTTTTACAAACAATATTTTCATGTTATATCTTACTGCGTTAACTGCCCTTTCCGGGTAGAGGCATGGATTTTCAGCTCTCGTTATTTTTCGGAATAAAGTGTAAAATAAAAGGAATTTTAGTCACATTTTGTTGACATTTGGACTACCTTATAAATATTCTCATGCCACCGAAAGAACACAACAAATAGAAAAAACAAGTGGAAATAAGAAACGCAAGTATATTTCGCCTTTATCGGATACATGTATACATCCATGTGTAAGTACAGCTGATAGTAGTAGTCACGTTGATAGTACTCAGCAAACCGGTTTGACGGGTACTAGCTCAGCAGATAAACAACTTAGTAAAAGGGTCAAAGATAAGCCTTGCTCGCCTGAGTACTTTACATTTGACAGTTCGCACACAGTTTATTATCAGCCTGCAATGATGAATCGTGGTCAACAATACGACAAGGCCCTTTCATGCAGGCTTTGCAGTCGCCTTATACATCGCCACCATCGACACAATTTTTACAGCCGGTACCAAAAGAAAAAATACCTTTTCCACCCTGAGCGATCTCTATTACTGAGGACATCAATAGCATGAATAATCTGCTTAAGGTATCTATGGCTAAAATTTGTTATGTCGCAAAAAACAGTAAATTCTATTAGACTAAGTACTAAACTCACTGATTTGAAAATTAAAGTGAAAAATATAGCTGAAAGGGTGGCGGACGTTGAAAAAATCACAAGCGTTCGTAAGCAACCAATATGATGAAAAAGCGTAGACATAAAAAATACTCAAGATCGAATTGGCAGTTTAAAGAAAATTTGTGAGATATCAAATAATTTGATGAAAAACAGAAAACGATGAATAATTTAATGTGTGATGCTGAAAATAGTAGTATGCGAGAAAATCTCATTTTCATAAAGACATTCGAAATTTGAAAGTACAAAAATCGCATATTGATAGCATGGACATTGCCCAACCGGAACTGGAAGTGGAGAACTGTAAGCTGGAGATGAAAGCATTCATAGAGGATAAATTAGTAATTGATTGCAGTAAAATGCTTTTTGACAGCGCTCATCGACTTGGAAATCCGTACAAATCAAAGAAACCTCGCCCAATAATTGTCAAATTTCATATAGTTATGTTGAGCGTGAACGTGTTCGTACATCAGCAGTCAATTTAAAAGACGAGCTAAAACAAAAGATCTCGGGTTCGAGTTGAAATTCCTAAGGAGTGGCGTGATGCGCGTAAACCATTATATTCTATAGTCGATCAGGAGCGAAGAAGGGGGAAAAGTGCGATTTGTTGGCGATCAACTGCTAGTCAGTGGAAAACCATGTGTTTTATAATCAACATAGAGAGGTCACAAGGAGCAATTAGACATCGTCTCGTGGAACATTAACGGACTTGTTCGCAAATTATTAGATATTGACGTTTTAGAACTAATTAAATCACATGATATAATTATTTTGAGTAAGACTTGGTTGTCAAAAAACTTGCACTAAATTTAGATATTGATGGTTTTTGTTCGTACCATTTGTTTGGTAACAAATCACATGGAACGAAAAAGGGTGATCTAGTGGGGGTATATCAATTTATTACAGAACATTTTTACGCGATGAGATACAGATAATTGATACACATAAATGTGGATAGTTTTGGTTAAAATTATACAAAACTCTTTATCATTTCAATGTTGATATATATCTATGTTGTGTTTTTATTCCACAGTTATTGTTAGAAATGAATTTGATATTTTTGAACAAATTGAATTAGGAATAGAAAAACAAAAATTACTAGGTATAGTTGTGTTAAACGGAGACTGTAATAATAGAACTGGTACTAAGGTAGATTTTTAAAATTTTGATAAATTTTTGGATAGCAATACCGAATAAGAAAGAAATTCATTTATTTTTCACAGAAGCAATATATATAAAATCTTAGATGTTCAAGGCAAACGACTTATTGAAATGTGTAAGACAACTAACTTATTAATAGGAAATTGTCTGCTTTTTATGAGCACATTTGTCTCGGATCACATTTGTCTCACGAGGTGTGACCGATGTGCTCGTAAACATTCATATTTCGACAATTTCGAAATGTGACAAATGTGTTCGACACACAATAGAAATGACAATCGAAGCACATTTGTCTCACATTCTTCCGTAAAATTCTAAAAAGGTAATAATCATGCCCGTCCGTTCACCGGCTACCAGCCATAGTTCTGTGTTCTCTGTATTAATAATACCGTTTTAGGTCACTTCCGGGCAATAAAAAACTTTCTGCCTCTGCATATGGGTCATATATTAAGTTAGAGAATATCCCTGCTCTGAAAATTTATGCTGGTGCAGAACCCAAACACATATTCAGAGAGTTTATTTTCATCGTTAATTGTGACACGTTTCTTTCCGATACGTAAAGTTTTATAATATTTAAGAAATATTCTAAGACACAACAAGGTAGTATCTATGGTGGCATAAAAGGAACATACTAGGCTGATCTTATTCATTACTTGAGCACGCGATAGCTATTACGTGGGCACGCGGCGATACTATTACATGCGCACGCGATAGCTATTACGGTCTAAGGCCGCTATTCCATTTATACGTGATCAGTGGTCCGCGTCCGTCATCCGCATCCGTTACCGATTCGCTAATCAAAGAATACGTTGAATCTATTCCTTTTGTCCGTTTACCATCCGCTTCCGCGACGGCATCCGCGACGTTTCGCAGGATGAGCGATTTTTTACGGACGCGGACAGTCGCTGACATGTCTCATCCCTACAAAATACCTTGAACGAAATTAAATACTTTATCGATTTCGAAAGAAAAAACTAAAGAAGTCACCAAAATAGTGTAGGAGAACATATAAGCTTATGATGCAGCAATGACAGATTAAAAAAAACAACATCTGGTCATCGGTTGCTAAAGAGATGTTATTTGAAAGCCTAACTGATATTCAATGTTTGTTACCTAATTCTTTGATGTTACAACTGTTTTTGGTATTAGAATGAAATTATATCATATTCTATAAATAATTATCCTCTGTTCGCTATACTTCAATAATAAGTATATAGAAAATAACGTACCTATGGAATAATACCCACGGACATGCCCGGACACGGATCACTGACGCGGACCACTGATCACGTATAAATGGAATAGCGGCCTAAAGGAGTAGATATTGCGTGCGCATGCGATAACTATTACGTGCGGATACGGATACAAATTCCGCGTTTGGACCATGGGCGCGCTTTCTCGCCCCGAGTGAGTGTTGGACCTTCAGCGGTTAGAGGCAAGTGTTTTTTCTCACTCGACCACGGAGGCTCGTAAATGATCTAATACCCCGGTCACATATTCACGGAATACGGCCACGGAAGAACCATGGATTAATTCCGACATCGTCCGTAGCTACCCGGACTGGTCATTAGCTCTCCGTATTGTAACCGTACAATCGTATTAGTACTTGTATATCCGTAGTGATCCTTAACAATTTTTGAACATGCATAAAAAATTGCTATGGAAGAATCAACCGTAGCGTATTCCTACTAATCCGTATTAAAGCGTACTGATACGTACTGTTCCGTACGAAAACCGTACTAGTCCGTACTGATTTGTAGGCCCCAACGTGTCAAGGATTTCCACGGTTTGATACGGATACCTACGTATTTGTACGGTTATCCTACGTATAAGCTACGGTTTAATAAGGATTAATACGGCATTGTCACGGAATGCCACGATCGCAATACGTAATACTACAGAGAGACAGGGATTAGCACGGTCTTATTCGGTTTATTGCGTTGCAACATGAAACGGTATGGAATGGTACGACCCACCACTGTTTAGTACGGATAAATTAAGTATCATGAACTTATTAAGGGTATAAATACTACCTTCTTGTTAAAAACAGACATACATGTATTGCGTTTCCATGTCATTCAATAAAAGATATTTGCCATTAACTGGCTGTAACTGTACATTGATATGGCCCAGAATGCGGAGGCAGTGGTCCAGCTGCTTTATTACATGCATAGAGGTATAATATGTTTGAATATCGTACTACAATTCATTAGTAATACAATAACATTTAATGTTACATATTT